AAGGGAACATGAATCAAATATGCACTTTTATTCATTTACAATAAATTCATAAAGTACATCATTCTGATTGAAGCTAAGGGCATACAAAACTGTCTAACAATTTACTCATAGTTTTCTTCATTTTTTTTTATTCCCCTATTTAGTTGCATAGTAAGTTTACAACATTCTGAAGTCAACGAGTTAGTTCTCTTTAGACTTGTGAATTTGCAAACTTGCTCAGCTTAGGTTAGCCTATGTTTTGATAATATAAGGGAAAAATTGAATCTTTGAAAATGTAATTACATCATTTGATATCACATGTAAGTAGAATGTGACAACCAATTAACTCAAGGATCATATATGTTATATTTCCAAAAGGTCTAGGGTACTTTTAAATAGGTTTTAAAATTTTAGGATACTTTTAATTAACATTGTATTTTTTTAAAATAAAAAGTCAAGAAATTAGGCCAAAACAAACCCAAACCAAGCATGATTGGATTGGATTAAGGTTAAAGTTAGGGGGTTAGGTATCACATGAAACATGAATTGGGATTAGGGTGGACCTCCACCTATTATATTTGAAAAATAAAAACCCACCAACCTACCCACACCCCAAAATCCCAACAGAGCCTTACAAACTTGAGCGCACGAGGTCCATGTCTTGAGTTAGCAAACTTGGGCTTGACATCCGGTTAGGCTTGGACCATATTTGAGGTCTAGGTCTTAGAGGTGTGGGCCTTGGTTAGGGTTGTCAACGGTTTGGGTCTAGTTTGAGACATGGTAGAACCATCCTGAACCGATTGTTAAAATCAAAACCAATACCGAATCGACGGGAACTAGGACAGTCGGGTATGCTCCGATAAGGACCGATTACATAAACAAGCCTATTAACACATGCAATTTTTATGACAGAACTACTACTATAACAAAGAAAAAAATTATGGAATCATAGGGCAAGTTACAGAACTTTTGATGTTTTTTGATAAAAAGAAAACAAAGAAAAAAACTATGGAATCATAGGACAAGTTACAAAACTTTTTATGTTTTTGGATAAAAAGAAAACAAAGAAAAAAGTCTGGAATCATAGGACAAGTTATAGAACATTTGAGATACCTTTGAGAGACATGTAATGTCATTGCTGCTTCCAACTTCCACTGGTGCCTCCACCATTGTTTGAACCTTTGAGATTGAATAGTTAGAGAGTGAAAAGAGTTGAGAGTGATAGTGAAGAGAGTAGAAGGGAGATAAGAGTTTGAGTTAAATGAAGGGGGGATCTGAAGAAGAGATGGAAAAGTTCATATCAAGTCTAGAAGAGGAAGAAAGGAAGGGTAGGGGGCTAGGGGCCTCGAGAGAAGGGGACATAAAAAATGAAATGACCCTTGACCATTCGAATGATAAAATTTCTTCCACCCTGACCAAAATGACCATTTTGGACAATATATATTTAGAAGTATTATATATAAAATATTATACATTTAATTTATATTTATATAATCGGTTCGAGTCTGAATCGGTTGGGACAGCCAAAATCAGTCCCCAGCCTATAATAATCCAGACAGAAAACTACAAACCAGAACCAACCCTTCGATAGAACTGGAACACCATACACTATACCTGGTTCGCACGGGTCGGGTCTATTGGGTAGAACCGACCCATTCACAGCCCTAGCTTTGGTTGATCGTAACTTGTAAACCCAGCCGGCCAGCCCAACCCGTCCAATTTGCAGCGCACCCAGTCCTAAGTCCCAAGATTCCCAAGTCCCAACCGTCTAACCCCTAACGTGCTTGTCGCCAGTCAAGACTTAAATCGTCCCCAAAAGTAATTTTTCACTTTTCATCAATGAATCGAATATTGCAAACGTGCCTCCTCTCTCCTTCCTGCTCCAGGGTATGAACCATGATATATGAACATCAATAAATAAATGATCTTACTTTGTGGTATTCTGAGATATTCCACGCTCAGTGTTTTGTTTTGGTGTCTTCAGCTGCCAGTGACATCCCTTTTCAGAAAATATATCTCCTCTGGAGCTCATGGACGGTACTTCTTTACATGACCCACCTTGATTTCCTACCTTTCCTATCAGTTTCCTTGTCGGTTTAGTATTATAACAGAAATGCCCAGTTCGTTTGTGATGTTAATGCGATTTTTCTTCCCATCAATCTGATCTTATAGATAAACGTTTTTGTCACTAGAAAATCTGGAACTGGTTGGTTTCGGCTACAAAGTTTATGGGGGTTTAATTTATGGATTTGTTTCTTCTGGTTAATATTTTGATCAGATATGGATGGGGATGGTTGGTTTGAAAAATTTGTTGTGACTATCTAAATATCTGTAAGATGTTCACAGGCTATATTTCAAGCTGGGTTTCTCTCTTATTCTTTTTCTTTTTGTTTCGTTTTTATAATTTTTAGCTGGGTTTGATGGCCCTCTGTATCGGTATCGGAATTTTAGTTGATGGTAGCTAAATATATGTTAGATGTTCAAAGATTAGATTTCAAACTGGGTTTCCTTGTTATTTGTTTTTTTCTCGTGTTTATAATTTTCTATCTGGGTTTGATGGTCCTCTGTTTCGGAATTTTAGTTGATGTGGACAGACGCATTACTGCCAATATTATAATTACTGATCCTGTTATGTTTTTCGAAAACATCTTATAGCTGAATCTACTAACTTAAAATATTTATGATTTGCACTCTTGTTTTTCTTAACTCACAGTGATGAGGTACTGTGGTCTCATTTTCTAACTATTTCTGTTATGTGCGTTAGGAGAACTCACCCCTAAAAGCTAGCTGTTAGAGGGAGGGAACCCAAGCACATATATACCCACAACAACATCCCATACTACCGATGTGGGATACCTCACATTCGCATCCCATACTACCAACATAGGGCAAATGGATCGTAACATTCCACCATGCTCTGCAGTCCCAGCGCCATGCAGGCTGGCTTTGCACTAGTCCACTTAGTCCCAGCCGAACATTGCAATACCAACATCACCACCTGCGCCACACGATTGCAACTGGAAGGCATATTGTAGGCTCTGATACCATTTGTTATGTGCATTAGGAGAACTTACCCATAAAAGCTAGCTGTTAGATGGAGGGAACCCAAGCACATATATACCCCACAACAGCATCCCATACTACCAATGTGGGATAACCTCACATTAGCATCCCATACTACCAACATGGAACAAATGGATTGTAACAATTCTTAAGCTACTAGGTTTGTTTGTTTTTCTTTTGCATCGTCTATTCCACCTTCTATCTAGTACTTTTTCTTTTCTTATTTTTTTTTTCCAAATCGTGGAGATGAAATTTTATATCTATATACAGCTCAATCTTTCGAGAAACTGAGATTCATCAGGGCCATGTGAAAGTGTCATCAAATAAAAACTCATTTTATGGGTTTAGAACTTTTTGTACAGCTGAAGGTGCGTGCTAACTTTTTACTATCTGAACTGTGATGTTTAAGCAATCGTTCATCCGGTTCCATTGTGATCTTTAGTTTTTTTCTATATTTTTAGTTGAATCTAGTGTCATGTGATGTTTTTCTTCTTTATATCCCACAACCTGAACTTCCCCAGTTGACCTTAATGTTCAATGATGCTTTCCAATTTTTTCTTTTTGTAATTTTTATGTTTCCATTTCCAAATATATGGTTAGGATTGGTACCTATTTGTTGCTACTACAGGTTCAAACTTAGATTGGGTTGAAAAATTGTTAAATGTTGAATTAGCTAGAGCTCGATGTGGTTGAAATCTGTTATATTTTCTAAAGGAGCAGAAAGATACCTTAAACAGAACCCCTTCCCAGAGTACAGCTTTAACATTTCAAGGCCTCACTGTGTGATTCAATAAAACATAACCATGCAGTAGAAAGAACAAAAATTGTATGAAGAGGTCAATAAAACCTACTACATCTGTTGTCATATTTCTTGATTTCTTCTGGAGAGTTCATCATTATTTTTCTGACCTTTCCAAAGATGCAAAGTTAGATGGGTTCCAATCATCCTGCCCCTAAGCACATGTAACAATGCACATATTCAGACAAGGAGAGGGATCAGTCTTGTGTTTTGGAAAGTATTTTAAGTAGGGTCATAAGCTGGGTAAAGTCTTTGGACCTGTTCTCAACCCTCTCTTTCGATGATATAAGAAAGAATTGGGAGAAAGTAGCCAAAAGTTTTGATGTTAGTAACAGGCCTTTGGTGGAGTGGAAGCCTCCTGAGGTAGGTGTGATTAAATTAAATTTCAATGGCAGCAGCTTGGGAAACCCGGGGCCATCTGGAATTGGTGAGTCTTCAGAAATGCTGAGGGCCAGATTGTTTCTCTATTTTCTGGTCCTATTGGGGAGGGAAATTCAGTTAACGCAGAAGTCCAAGCTGTCCTACAAGGAGCAGAAATTGCAAAAGAGCTGGCAGTGGAGCATTTAATGATTGAAGGTGACTCCAAATTGGTGATTGGATGGCTAAAAGAGCCAGAGATAGCAGCCTAGCCCTACAGGGAGGCTTTGAGAAGATTTAAGTGGCTAACATCAAATATCTTAGTCACAGTTCAATGGGAAAGAAGATCGGCAAATGGGCTGGCAGATTATTTAGCCAAACAAGGTGTACATAGGAATCATCTCTTTTGGGCTCAATTGTAAGCCTTATGATATAGTCTAGAGGCTGCACCTTGCGCCTCATTGTTGGGAGCTCTATGTTGTATATGTTTGTTACTCTTAATAAATAAAACAACCATTTTTATAAAAAAAAGCACATATTCAGTCAAAATGCAAAGACTTGTAACTGCATGGCTATTTCTCAAGGTGGCTTATCTTCTTAAAATGCAAATACTTGGTGGTAAAATCCTTAAACTAAGAATATTTTATACATATAACATATTCAGGCATCAGGGGTGTGATTAGAGACAACATGTGAAAATATTTTGCTAATTTATTTTGGACCAATTGGTTATGGGGAAGAACTGCTAGCTCTAATATGAGGTCTGATGTATGTGGGCATGGAAGGGTGGAGGAACATTACAAGTGGAAGGAGACTGTGAAGTTGTCATTAAATGGCTGGGTATGTTATTTAGCATTAAGTGAGGGCTCTAGCTTCCAACCTAAGCTGCATGTTCAGGTAGACCCCTAGAGAGGCCAATGGTTTGGTATGTTATTTAGCCAGGGCTGGGGTCACAAAACAGCATTGCATGTGGAACACTAGGCTTGGGGGTCAATTATAAAATGTTGAAAGTATGAACCAATAGTTTTTGGTCAACAGATTTCTGTTCTTCGTACTTGAATACCAGTACCCACCTTTTTGATGGTGAGGAGCTTTTCACATATATTACAATAAAACCTTTTACTGTTGTTCAACATATATTATGATAAGATGCATTGACACATATAATAGTAATATGTACCTATAGTTGTAATATTACAATAAAGTGCCTTCCTTGTGATTTTGGTCACCTAGGTGGGTGCCTATTTTATAGCCATGGTGTTCAGGCGAGGTGCTCAACCAAGGACACCTTGTTGCTTAGGTGACACCTAGGCTGCACCTTGACAACTATGGTTCCAAATGTTTGAAATATTTTACATGGGTGTTTTGAAATTGATTCTCTACCTGTATCAGACCTTTAATTTTCCTTGCAAATTCCTTATCAACTTTGTATTTATGTAGTGTAATTTTGTAGTTAGATTGATTTCGATGTTGCACAAATCTGTGCATCCATTTTTAAAAGGCATGGCATAAACATGCATAATTGGACATTTAGGAATATGTTTTCTTTAGCTTATTCACCATGAAATTTTGGTTATTTCACAGTAATATATTACAAGTTGATCTATATATTGATTAAAATGTACATTTATATTCAATCAGCCTATATTTTACTGAAAATCCCTTTGAACATGCTCAGTGTTTTAGGTTATCTCTAAAGAATTTCACCTTTTTGTCAACACTATTTTATAGTGCAATCCAGGAGTTTCTCTGATGAATTTGGCATTACTCACTAAAGTTATTTATAGATGAATTCCGACTGATCTTATCTAGTAACATTCATGATTGATTCTTAATTATTTCTTATTATTCTTACCTCTATATCTGTCCTCGTTCTTTCATTAAAATATTCCTTAATTGTTCTGTCCAAGGGGTGGGATTGCCTTGGATTTTGGGACACCTTTACCTGTTTACCGGGAAAATGCTGTAATTTAGATGACATTTAACACATGTCAGAAGAATGGATCAGCAATCAAGAAGATTATGCTGCAGGTCTTGAGGGACCTTGGGTCTTTCCAAATGGGATGGATACTCTAGAAGGTTTTCTATCAGGTCCTGCAGAGTGCAGACAAAGTTTCAATTCATTTGGAAGCTTAATTAGTTTCTTTTTTTGCTATGAAAATGGATAATACAATTGGGGTAGGCAGTAACCCTCCCCCAAACCCTGATGAAGGCAGTTTTTGGTCCCGGGTCTAGGCTACAACCAGCAGGAGATGTTACCAGCGAGCTGGTTGTCACCTTTGAGCTTTATTGGTTTCTTGATGTACCCTCCACTTAAAGAGATAATTTGTTATCTATCCCATATATGTCCCGAATTTTATTTTATATTTTTAAATTTATCATTGAGGTCTTTTATCTATGTTGTCTGTCTTGGTTAATTTTTCTAATTTAGATTGAGGTCTTATTAGTCATATGAAGTTATTAGGAAGGACTATAAAGACAAGTTTGACCAAGGTATGAATTCTTTGATAGAGAAGTTTTTATCTTCAATCCCTTCTACAATGTATGCCCACTTTATACAGTATACCTATAGATGTTTAAAATGCATGTGTTTGTTTACATTGATATCCCTACTTAGTGCCCAACCTATTCAAGAATGTATCACACTATCACTTTGTGCCTGCACTGTCTTTTGGTTTTTATTGTGCTTATAGTTTGATAATAATATGCATATATGAAAAAGTGGTGGTTCCTACCATCTGATACAGTTTTATGGTCAATTTAGATCTGTCTTCGAAGAAGTGTGTACCATGTGACTCAAAGGATATTCGGCCCATGACTGAACAAGCAGCTAATGAGCTAATAACAAAGGTTCATTTCAAATCTCTATCTTTCTTGTGTGCTTCCTTTTGTATTTGAAGTAACCATTCTCAACTCATATATTATTAGGTACCAGAGTGGAATCTGGTAAATGAAGGTGGTATCCTGAAGCTGAGTCGATCATGGAAAGTGAAGGCTTTTACCAAAGGGCTAGAGTTATTTCAGGCTGTAGCTGATGTTGCTGAAGCCGAAGGTATTTTGTTATTTCAGTTCTAGTCCTTAGAGAATGTTGAATGATCTTCTTTGATCAGAATTTTATTGCTGTTGATGGCTGTTATGGTTTCTTGAAGGAATAAGAGAGAAAGTAGGGAGAGAAAGAAGAGGAAGATACCTGGTATCACTCACAGGGTGCCTAGAATCACTCTAGGGCATGGGAATCACTCACCATATTTAGCATAAGCTGAAGAAAACTCGTAAACTTCATTTCTCTTTGTGTAAAACGTCCATACATATTTATAGACTCTAAACTCCTAATTATCCTAGGAGTCAAACTGTTAGACTCATAATAGTCCTAGGAGTCAAACTGTTAGACACAATAATCATAGTAGGACTCAAACTAAGCTGTCATATCCTATTTCAATTCAAAGAAGACTTAATAATGCTAATCCTACTTATGCAATGACTAAAATTTTAAACATAAATAAACTATAACCAGACAAATTAAACCCTATCATTGGACCCCATAGGAAATTGCAAAATGACAAAAATACCCCTACTGTCAAAAAAAATTCAGAAATACATAAAATTTCATAAAATTCCAATTTGACTCTTCATCTCCTGCATCACCAACTCACTAGCCAGCTGCTTAGTTTCCTTCATGGTGTGTTTGCACTTCCAAATTCCTGCATTGTTGTTCCTCAGACACCCCGCTACTATCGTCGACTTCCACCAATATATTCTCCAAGTTGAGTGCCCTGGATGGCTGGCCACTTAATCAGCTTGTAGTATTGTTCTCAATTTGTGAATTCTAAGTTTTTTAGAAGGTTCTATTATCATAGGCTCATAGCTGTTCCAAGGTTGAATCTTAAATTGTAAATTGTTGTGAATGTCCACCTATCCCTTTTCTTTATATAAGTTTTACACTAGCGGGGACCTGTGCGATGCGCGGGCTTTGTTAAAAGAATTTGAGACAAAAGGAGTTACAAGTGCAACTTGGATGGGCCTAACCTGAGCATGACCTAGCTCAATGAAAGCTTTTGCACATATTGGGCTTGAGTTTTCGAACTTCAAGCTAGGCTTGGGCTAAAAATCTCAGGCCTAACTTAAACTTAGGTTGGGCTTGGATTGAGCTATTGAGTAGCCCTAGCCTAAACTTAGCTCAATGAAAGCTTTTGCACATATTGGGCTTGAGTTTTCAAACTTCAAGCCAGGCTTGGGCTAAAAATCTCAGGCCTAACCTAAACTTAGGTTGGGCTTGGATTGAGCTATTGAGTAGCCCTAGCCCGGCCCGGCTCAATATGAACCTACCCAACATTTTATGATATACATATCGACACATTACCATCTATTCTACTTGAAAATTGGGCTACAAAGATAAACACGTCCAAGCCTAAGCCCAGCTCGTGATGTTGGGTTAAGTTTTTGTTGGGGCTGGGTTGGTAAACTCGGGCGTAACTTTGAGTTGGGCCAAGCCTGGATTTGAGGTTTGAGACTTAGGTTGGGCTTGGGTTGACCCTCAACCTGACCCAATCCGCACAATTTGCACCCCAAGAAGGAGCATTGTGACATTCCTAATGGATTAGGGGATTTTAGATTAATAATAATTAAGTTTAGAACTAATAATTTTATTATTTTTTTAATTTTGTCAACAAATTTGTAGTATTATCTTATTTTTTTTAAATGAAATTTAAATGGATATCAAATTATAAGATTTAATTTTGAAACTAAGATTTTCTTCTTTTTTGTCGTTTTTTTTTTATAAATGTTCTTTTTTGTTGTTTTATTAATAAACATGTTAGGTTTAAGTTGGGTAAAGTCACTAAAAAGTTGCTTTTGTATAGTTGGGCTAGATTTAGATTAGTATAAGGTCAAGTTGGATTTAAGACGAGCTAGAACTACCTAGAGGCTAGTGCCAAGCCCAACCTGAGGACTGAAAATAAAAGCTCAACCTATGCATAAAATGCAGGCTGGGTCAGTTGAAGATCGGGTTGGGCTTGCCCAAGTTGCACCCCTACTCCTTGCATTGTAACTACACAGTGTTGTACATGTTACACTTACATATATAGGTCTCATCTCATGCTATACGATAATTTGAAATTGGGTCACAACAACTGCAAGGAGCCTTAAGGCATTTCCATTTGAGTCGAGTTAGTCCAAGTCCAACCCACATTTTTTAAATGGAATCTAAATGGATTTTAAAATTTCATTATTTTTTATTTTTATATCATTGTTAACGGGTCCTTTGTTTTATATAAGTCTCTTATGTAGTATTTGCACTATGCACAATAAAAGGTCCCAACTCATAAAAAATATTAATTTAATAATATTATTAATTAATTTAAAATGCATTAATACTAAGTTATTTAATAAAATAAACAGAATAAACAGAACATGATACAACATTAGAACATGGGTTCTATGTGCAATATATCAAACCCATGTTTATTATGTCCAATAGATTTTAATCATAATATTATTAAAATTATCTGTTAATATTTTTTTGTATTTAAGTTTCTTGTTTTTATTAGTGTTTATTAAGTTTGATTTTTAAGTGGAATTGAAATATTTTTAATTAACATCTTAAGGAAACCAAAATTTCTTAAATTTTATTAACTATTATAAGATAAAAAGTGTTTTAATTTTTACTAAGTTTTATTAATAGTTATTATTTTTAAGTGGAAGTTTAGTGGATTTTAAATTAACATTTTTTTAGAATAATACTTTTATTTTTTAGCCTCAACCTATTTAAGTTAATATTTTAAATTAATATTTATTGTATTATGTTGTATTATTATTCCCTCCCTCCCTCTCTCTCTTTCTATAATTAATAATATAATATCTCTCTCTCTCTTAATTATGTGACTACTTTGTCTTGATAATAGTGTACAGTTTTATTGATGACATAATTCCTTTTTATATTTCTAAAGTAAAAAAATAAGAAAAATGTAAAAAAGAGAAAATAGATAAATAAATTTCCTCAAAGGAGAGGCATGCTGACAAATTAAAAGGACAATAAATGTATTGAAGACATATGGAGGTGATTATCCCTAATCATGGAAGAGAACAGAAGAGTATAACAGCAGCAAAAAGAGAGGCCATGCCTTGCCAACTTAGAACTTTATACAATAGCCAATAAGCATCCAACCTCCATACAAAACTTTCATCATTCAAACTGTGAATCATAGTGTATATTGTAGGTTTTTGGCAACGTTGTTTGTAACCTCTTTTTGCTTTTATTTTTCAATGACTGCAGAAATTGGGAACTGGCATGGTGCAATGTAGGGCATACTTTGAGAGAGATGACTTTCATGCTTATTCCATCTGCTGGCAGATGGAAATAATAATTCTAGCCTATTGAAATGAACATTCCAAGTATCAGACATGACAAATGTGTCTTAGATTAAAGATATCAGTCCATTTGAAATATGTTCTTCCAAACAGAGAATGTTTGATTACATATCAGTGTAGTAGTAGAGGAAATGTGATTTGAGAGGTTTACAAAATGAACATGGTATTTTGTCATGCTGTCTCAAATGTATATCTTTTGTGGTATGCATCACTGCATCCTAAGAAGTTGCATGGGATTTTCTGTTTTCAATTTATGGTAAGCAATGATCTTTTTGTTCTCAATGCAGGCCATCATCCTGACCTTCATCTTGTAGGATGGAACAATGTGAAAATTGAAATATGGACACATTCAGTTGGTAAGGATTAGTTATTAGTAAAGTTATTTTGTGATTGAGTAATGATTTCATTTTTTTTGTAAGAATTGAGTAATGATTTCATTCTACTGAAAATTTTGTGTTTTTCAAATTCTCTGACATATCTTGCCAAAGAAATAAAAAATTTAATTAAGCATTGTATGGAACATATAAAATTAAACACTACATAGAATGTATCAAGTCCATAATCCAGACTGGATTGGATGATACTGCCCAACATGGTTTGTAATATCAATATCAATGAACATTTCACCATGTAGAGTTGGGGAAATATCAGAGATATTTCGCTAAGGTATTTGGAAAATCTAAAAGCAGTAAAGTTTTCTGGAAACATTAAGGGCCTGTTTGGCATCAATTCTAATAATTTTCATTCTCAGGATCCATCCAGAAAAGAATGGATTCTAGCTCTTCATGGTTCTGATAATATATGTGTAAGCGTTTGGGACACCTTTTCCTTAGAATCAGAATTAAGTTTAGGAACGAGCCATTGAGAAGGGAACTCTAGATCTGGAGAACTTCAGGAGAAGGGAATGAGCATAAGAAGAGATAAGTCAATAAAGCATTTGGAAAAATAAGACCAAGAACTTGATGGAGTGTCAAAAACACAACATACCAAGAGCGGGTYTCTCCTTCAAGCTGCATGAAGCACCCACTAAAAAGCCTCAAATTCCAGATACATCTGAGAAAAAGATCCAAGAAAATGAACAATAAAAATGAGGTTTTGATCCCAAAAGAGGATTTGAAAATGTCAGGATT